TTGATGAACAAGAGTATTACATTGATTCAACATGAGCACTTCGTTGTTTAGTGTGGAGCATCTTTGGAATCACTTCTATGTTAGTGTCAGCTATTGAGTTGGCAGTCCTGGAGAAGTATCTCTCATTGGGCTGCTTGCCAAGCTCGCAGTGTAAAGGGCCAGGCCATCAGCATGATTCAGACATCTCATTTTTAGGCACAGCAAGTTGGCAATTGAATTTTGAGCAAACCATTTTTTGTGGCAAACATTTTAAGACATAGGAAGATACTTTTGTAGAGATTTTTGTCGTAAGGAGTGGCTCCATAAACAAAAGCAAAACATGGACTGTTCTATAGAGTTAGTGTTGTTATTAAAATCCTTACAAAAGGTCTTGGGAACACTATTACATTCAGAAATATATCAATTAAAAATCCAAACTATCCATGTTTACAGAGGATATCTGAATGCAAGAAGAAGTTAAAAGATTATGTTATGCAAAAGCTGCCAAAAACTGTGTGCTACCTGTGAGTTTCATGGATAGAAAAAGATAAAAATGATCATTATTTTACCTGATAACAATTTCATGCCGAGTCTGGGGGATGCTGTCAGTGCTTTGTCTTCTTACTTGTCATAGGAATGTTTTTACGAAGGGTTTTGAGCCTTGTAGTGTTTTTTTAACTATAAGCATTGTAACATTGCTGAAACTGACTGTTGGCGGAGGAGGAGCTAGCAGATGTTGCCTGCGTTGGTGTGCTGCTGCTGCTGCTGATGTGGTGAGGAGGGTTGGCAGTGCTGATTCTCCCTTCAGACCACCTCTCCCCTCAGAGACCATACTGTCTTTGATCTCACACCAAGCCACTGGCAAAAACACAGCTTAAAACAAGAAAGATCTGATAAGAGGCACATTTGAAAAGACCAGCAAAGGAAACCCCAGTTTTGATGTTTTTCCTATCATAATGATAAATTTCTTATCTAGATCACATATCAGAGACTTTGCCTGCTTTGATATTAGTTGTAATTAACCTATCTTAGGGCAGTTTCATGAGGCAAACTTGATAAGCTGTTGTTTTTTTCTATCCTGAGCATAACCTTTAGCTGCCAGGCAACACATACTGGTTGCTTGATGTACGACAGTTTTGCCTGCTTTTACTGACATTTCCATCTAAAGTAACATTGAAAGTTGTCAATTAATTTGGTTAGTATTTTAAAGCATTCGCTGAACTATCTTCATCATGTCTATTTCGATCAAGATGCCCTCTCCAAATATGTTCTGCTTCTACTACAGCTGAAGGGGTCGTTGTCAGCACAGGTACAAATATGTACCCTAATCGCAGATGAGTCCATATTCCTCAATCTAAAACTGAAACTGTATGTAGTTGTTCCTGTTTGCCTGATTGCGAGTGGTATTGTGCATCGTGAAATAATCGTTACTGTGTAGGGGCAGTGGGGTAGCCTAGTGGTTAAAGCGTTGGCTCGTCACCCCGAATACCCGGGTTCGAATCCCCGGGTTCGAATCCCCACATGGGTACAATGTGTGAAGCCCATTTCTGGTGTCCCCCGCCGGTGATGTTGCTGGAATATTGCTAAAAGCAGCGTAAAACCAAACTCAGTCAGTCAGTCGTTACTGTGTATATTCATTTCTTATATAAGAGAATAGAATAGAATAAGACTTTAATGCCTTTTCAGGATTTAATGCCTTTTCAGCAGAGCTACTGACACATTAGAGAGATACCAAACATATTTACATACATTCTTTGATTTAGGTATCTTCACATTTGTTTAAGAGAGATATGGTACTTGGAATAAAGGATGTACGGGCTCTCTTAGTTTTCACAATTGGAACTTTGTAGCGGCGGCCTGAAGGGAGGAGGTTGTATTCCGAATTTAAGTAGTGAGTACGGTCAGATATGATTTTGACAGCTTGATTCACGATTTGCCGCTCATATATTCATGATAAACATTCAAATCGGACTCCAGCGATTTTACTTGCAGTGTTAACAATTTTTTCCATTTTAGATTTGAGATGAAGTGAGAGAGACCCGTACCAACAATGGAAGGAAAATGTTAAAATACTCTGAATAAATGCTACATAAAAAGATGACATCACAGATGGGTTAACATTAAATGATCTCAGTTTACGCATGAGATGAAGACGTTGTTGACACTTTTTGTATAGGGCTTCAGTGTTAGAGTTTCAGTTCAGCTTAGAGTCAATGAAGTAGCATTCATCATTAACATTAGCATTAACGCAATCATCTCATATAACAGAATGACAGCGAAAAATCATATTTTGATATTTTTAACTTGGGTTAAGAGAATTATTACAAATTACCTTTCTTGAACTTGGAAAATGTTCCCACATCAAATTTGTTCAATCGATAACTTTACATGTTGATACAGATTTTATATTTTTGACTGTATTGACAACAGTGTCTTGATACCAAGCAACTGCTTCAGTAAAGATGCCTCAAAGATTATGTTTCCATGAAGTTGCTTGTTTCTTGTGTTTGTTCCAAACTAGTATAAGAGCTTTCTTTTCACTTTTCAGTGTTGAAATGACCAGACAAATTACTGCCCCAATTAGTTATATAACTATATCACCCATGCTTTGCTATTGCTCAGCTTAACATCCGAGATGAACTCTCTTCCCCACTTACATGCTACACTTGATGCAGGTTTTACTGCATCGCATGAGTAATCAATTCGCAGTTGTTTTTTTGCTCAACAATTATCTGTAGCGCTCATCACTTTTTGTGTATCTCCAATTTCAGTTTTATTCAGTAGTAGTGAATGTAAATATAGATTACATTACACAAGTGACAACATCAAAGGCACCGCACAGTGGGCACAAAATTGCCTGCATTATTTCCTGGCAATTTACATAAGCTTCTTTTCCAGCTTGGCCATGAGCAAAATATGGTTTGTTATTGAATGTTTTGTTGACTGGAACTGGTAACATTGAAACTTGATTGATTCGATTACCAACAAAGTGGGAAATGACATTTATGAGCCTTTGAAGTCTGAGATGAAATTGCTTCCACATCCATGCTACAGTGTATTCTCCTGTGAGTGAATGCCAGCAGCCAATCAGATGACGCTTGATATTCATGTCCATGTTTGCCCCTTGACAGGATTTGTATATATGTATATATTGTGTGTATGAACAGCTCCAGAATCTTTAAACTTGTTACATTGGCAAGTGGTTTGATAATACAGCTCCTTTTGTTTCATTTCTGAAACCTTTTGCCAATAGCTTGCTGTATTTGAACATGAGTTTGGTGGCCAACAAAAGATCAAAGCTATGCAAAGAGAGTGCTCAGACAAAGCTGTGTCCCTACAAAGCAAATAAATAGATTTAGGAGGCCAGGGTAATATTGACTGAATGTGGGAGCATGTTGCTCTCCTACAGGCAAGCAGCCTACAGTCATGCAGCTCACTACGGCCCACACAAAATATATTGACCCGTAATGTTTCAGCTCTGCCTCAGCTCTGCCGTACAAACAAAACTTCAAAGGCAGAGGTTTTTATGGCTGCTCTGAAAGAGGGCTTGTTATTGAGAATTTGTGTGTTCGTTCGTATCCTTGCTATTTCCCTCCACCATAATCCATGTTTATTAAAAATCAATAGGCTGTAGCTTAGAGAGAAGCCCTTTTTCTAAAATATTGCCGCAGCGACGGTATTGAAATTGGCGAAACTGTTACATTCCTCCTTGGATTGTGTTTGCTGGCAAAGGTTATAAGTGTTGCTCGCTCAACACAGCCTCTTACATGATGTAAGAAGATTATTGGAGGAATCAGTATTAACATAAGCCTAGGCTGGCGTGATAAGCAGCACTTGACAATAACAACAGACGAACAGCACAGGCGCTTTGAAGCTGCTGCTCAAATAGCCTTTTATGTTGTGCACATATTAATGGTGTATTATCAAAAGCTTGCAGATTTCCAAGTGCTTCATCATTCAAGATTTTCTACAGTACATGACTCATCTTCATGCTTGCGTTCCACTCTTACACCAGTGGAAGGAGCTTATAGTCAGAGTGGGGGGAACTTTTTTCTTCTTCTTTTTTATGACATATATATTTTTTCCATTAGCATAGTCCTCACAAACAAGCATAATTCTGTTTTCAAAACAGTTTCAAACAACAGTTTAATTTTTTGTTTATCTTTAAAGTTCCCCAAGAGCTCACCAAATAATATGGAAAAAAAAGTAGTCAGCCTCACCTAGAAAATGATACAAATGCAGCTGTTTTTATGTTTTATTTTTATACATACTATCTGTCAACATCAACAAAGTATGCAAGAAACATTCTGTGTGTGCGAGATAGGCAGAAGTCCACTAGAACGAAACCACCACCAGCTCCTCCCCAGGTCACACCATTATCCAAAAGGCACTAAATGACAGATCATTTTTCATTTTCTGCAATTTTCTAAGAAATATTATACCCCAATGTGTTGTGATGACTAATATCTTGTTAACCACATTACCCACATATGAGAAATTTTGGATATGGCTTTGCTCATGATTCATTTAAAATATAATGGAAGCTTTTCAAACATTGGACATCGAGAATGTAGTTAGGCTGACTACTGTTTGAACACCCCTCGTACTGCTGTCTTTTACTTTTAGTCGCCATTAACTGCTCTCAACTCATTGTTTGAAGCGTAATGAAAGTAAATTCTGTATCTCAGTATTGGTGTAAATGTTTCATTGTTATTGATGATAGGACTGAAGCAAAATCAGATCGACATCATACTGTCAGTCACATGCAGACTAGATTACACTCACAACCACACTATCTTTACTTCATGAGATTTCACTATGTAAAACTTTCAGCGTACTTTGAATGTAGCTGATCAGCAAACAGTGCTACCTTGTTGGTACATGCAGACATTGCTGTTATTCACTGTTACTGAATTGCATGTTTTAGGACATGCCAGTGAAAGCCCACAATGTTACCGTTTTTGCATGCTGTAGAAACATGGTAGGTTATTTCTAAGTACCTGCTCTGTTTCTTCTTGTAGAGATGTGTTCTTATCAACAATCCAGCCACAACGAAAGCATGTTGTGATTGTAGTGGATCATGGTAATGCCATGAGTATCACCCAGTTACGCACAGCAAAGGCTATTGCACTGCATCTTCTGCAGTCCTTTTCCGAGAATGACCGTGTAAGTATAACTTCCACACACAGGAGGCAGAATCCTTCTAATTTGGTCAAAATATTTGTGATAAATTGTAGCTGTATGTTCAATTTTTAATTTTGCATGTATGTTATCAATTATATCTAAATTATATAATTGGAATAGCTTCAAAATTTCCAACCTGAAACAAACAAGAAAATCTTTGTATATGGTGCTGAAGTGTGCTTGTTAACTTCAGTATTGTCAGATTGCATGACTTACTGGTTATATATCATGACATTCAGATTGCTGTGGTGGGACTTGCGGCAAGTCAACATTTCCTCGTTCTGACAGCTGTCTACCTCATGCATTGGTGCCAGCTACTGTTGAAACCAAATTCTACTTCAGCAAGTTTGTGGAAGATCTTGAGAAACAAGACAGTAAGTTGAAACTTGATATAGAGTGAGGATGTATAAGTTGCAATGACTTTATCTTGGTGTAGTGGTAAGAGAATGCTTGATGTAGATGAGTGGTAACAGTATGCGTGATGTAGATGTGAATGAGTGGTAAGAGAATGCTTGATGTAGATGAGTGGTAACAGTATGCGTGATGTAGATGTGAATGAGTGGTAAGAGAATGCTTGATGTAGATGAGTGGTAACAGTATGCTAGATGTAGATGTGAATGAGTGGTAAGAGAATGCTTGATGTAGATGAGTGGTAACAGTATGTAGATGTGAATGAGTGGTAAGAGAATGCTTGATGGTAAGATAGATGTAATGAGAGGTAACGAATGCTTGATGATGTGATGTGAAATGAGTGGTAAGAGAATGCTTGATGTAGATGAGTGGTAACAGTATGATGTAGATGTGAATGAGTGAGTAAGATGAGTGGTAACAGTGCTTGATGTAGATGTGATGAGTGGTAAGAGAATGCTTGATGTAGATGAGTGGTAACAGTATGCTTGATGTAGATGTGGTAACAGATGTGATGTATGAGTGGTAAGAGAATGCTTGATGTAGATGAGTGGTAACAGTATGCGTGATGTAGATGTGAATGAGTGGTAACAGAATGCTTGATGTAGATATGCGTGATGTAGATGAATGAGTGGTAAGAGAATGCTTGATGTAGATGAGTGGTAACAGTATGCGTGATGTAGATGTGAATGAGTGGTAAGAGAATGCTTGATGTAGATGAGTGGTAACAGTATGCGTGATGTAGATGTGAATGAGTGGTAAGAGAATGCTTGATGTAGATGAGTGGTAACAGTATGCGTGATGTAGATGTGAATGAGTGGTAAGAGAATGCTTGATGTAGATGAGTGGTAACAGTATGCGTGATGTAGATGTGAATGAGTGGTAACAGAATGCTTGGTGTTGATATGAATGATTGCCTGAAGTATGTGTGCCTGACATAGATGTGAATGATGTCTCCTTGATGTAGATGATTGGTAACAGTATGCATGTGTAAGATGTGAATGAGTGGTGAAGTAGTTATGTAGATGAGTGGTAACAGTACTGCATGGGGATGTGGTGAGTGGTAAAGAGAATGCTTGGTGTTGATATGAATGATTGCCTGAAGTAGTAATGTAGATGTGAAAACCATGTAAGTCAGGTTGGTTGTTAAACTGCCAACTGGATGTAGATGATCCCCTTGGTGTTGACTGCCTGGAGATGACCAGGTTGTGAAGTTGTTACCGGATGTAGAAACCTTGCAGCTAACATTACTTGCAGGCTCTTTCAGTGTTGTCACACCCTCTAATGTGCAGTACACAACCCTGTGCACTTAAAAGAACCCACTTATCTGATGGTAGGTGACCAGATGGTGGACACACAAACACGTAGTTACGGGTATAGTAACATGCAGTATCATTGGCCAAGATACTGTCACTATATGTCCCAGTCCACCCAGCTGGGTGGGTACCTTGTGATGACGAGGCTGTGCGATAACTCGCTGCGCCTAACAGGCTGCATGAGTTGAATACTCCCCAGGGAGTTGAGTCCTATAATAATAATAATAATAATAATAATGTTTCCTTTCAGCTGCTACTAACCACACCCTGGGCTTTGAGACAGCCTTTCAGCTCATCCACAATACTTTCAGGAAAGGCAAGATGTTGTCAGGTAAGAAATGGACACAGCTAATCTGGGGGTTTAGTCATGTATCATGGGTGTGATGTGGAATATTCTCAGAGCATCAAGGAAAACTGTTCTGCATTGTAGTACGTATGTGTCAGCTTGACGTAATGGCTTAAGTAATGTCTAGCTTCTTGTATGATAGGCTTTGAGATGATATAGACTGATATCTTGATTTAATCTTATTGATATGGTGTGAGACAGAAAGCATTATTGCCATACTTGAGTATGTATTTCAATACAGGGATAGTCAATTCAGTAAATCTGATTCCCACACATTTATTCACTGAATTCGCTCAGATAAATAATGTAGTTGAGATGTTGTTTGCAGACAGAGCTCTCATCCTGTATGTGAGCCGAGGGTTGCTGTCCTCTCTGACTGAAGCCCGGGATGTCATGGACATGATTGCTATTCACAATGCCCAGATGGGGCACAAGGTCATCATCAACACATATGCTGTCATAGATGGTATGCATCATATTCCTCATCAGTGTATACAGACAAAATATGATCTAATCTTTGATGCCATGAACCTTGGATCATTTTATTGTCCAATGTGTACCTACAGCAAATATCACTATATGTGGTGCCATGTTTGTTTCCATTGCTTGGATTGCATTCTCCATCTATATGGATGCCATGGGAGTTGAATGACCTCATCTCTGATATCCCTTTGTGAAATGGACCCCTTTACAGCAGTTACAGTAGTTTTCAGTTAACCTTTCTCTTTCTAAAAATTGTAAGGTCCTTAACCCATTCAACGCTGCAGGCCAAATAATCGGTCCTAAGACACCAGAGGCTGGTTATCTGGCCAGGCAGTAGACACGGCAAAAATGATATATATTCTTAGGACTCTACCTGACGTGTGATTCTTATATCAAATCTATCACTTTTCACAATATCTGAGAACACTTGTACATTTACATGGTCACATGCATGATTTTGACCAATCACGATCCTTATAGCAGACTGTGACAAAAAAAAGTGCCATTAGAAATATAATGCTTTCTTACAACTGCAAAGATACACCAGGTTACGGTGATATTATTAATCAGAGCTTTTAAACGATACCCACCATTGCTTCGTGGTTTATTTCGACAGTATAAATGTGTAAGCTTGCATTTTCATTAAAAATAAACTTATTTAGTTATAGTTGAATTGAATTTGATAATTATAGTTGAATAATTTGATAAAAACAACTTTCATATTTATCAACAGTAGGATTAAACCTTTCAAATGTTGTTTGACATGTAGGAGCAATAATATTTTATAAGCTGAAATTTTCCTTGATTAATATAGGCTTCATCTGTCATCTCTGGAAACTTGGTGCCATAGCAGTAAAAACCTCTGGTTTGACTGGTGTGTAAAGGAGATAAATCACAATGAATTACTTTAATGTAGGTATGTCAAGTTATGACAGTACTCAATGTATACAATACAATATTTGCATATTTCCTCTCCGCGCATCTTATCTTATTACATGTATGATAGGGAAAGTTGTATATTGCAGATGGTAAGCCCATCATGTATGAGAAGAGCTTCCTACAAGATATCGCAAACCAGAACTTCTCCAAGTATGATGTCCGATACAGGCTGAAGATACCCGTCATTGTAAGTAACTCAACCACCTGCTGCTCATGTTAAATGTAGTGTCTCAAAGTTGTTGCTACATATGAAATGATAGGGGTGCATTATGGAGACAACCACTCCCACCAGGGGTCTGTGCAGTCTGCTACTGAAGAGCCATGATTCATCACAACTTACACATTCTGTACAGCAAATTACAATTGTTTTTCATCGTTTTTATTCCCCTCAACACGTTTTGCGGGGGGTATTAAAATGGACTCTGTCCGTCTGTCCGTGCACCCGTGCACATTTGTCTTTTCCGGAGCATAACTCTAAAACCGTTCAATATTTCTTCACCAAACTTGGCACGTAGATAGATCTGGTGGACTACTGGTGCCTTTTGGTAGTTTTGGAATTCTGAATAAAATATTTTTGGCATTTCCATTGCAACAAGTTTGACTTTGACTGAAATTGGTGGTAGTACTCTTTTCCTGAGCAGAACTCTAAAATCGTTCAATGTTTCTTGACCAAACTTGGCACAAAGATAGATTTGGTGGTGAACTGGTGCCTTTTTTTATAAAATACTTTTGGCGTTTCCATGGCAACAAGTTTGCTTTAGACTGAAATTGGTGGTAATACTCTTTTCCGGAGCAGAACTCTAAAACCGTTCAATGTTTCTTCACCAAACTTGGCACATGGATAGATCTGGTGGTGAACTGGTGCCTTTTGGTAGTTATGGATTTCTGAATAAAATATTTTTGGCGTTTCCATGGCAACAAGTTTCACTTTGACTGAAATTGGTAGTAGTATTTTGCCATTGCGGGGGATATTGATGACTTTGTCTTCTTGTTCAATTTTTAAATGTCTCAATGTTCCGAAAAATAGTACCAGTTGCACGTTTATAATTTCATTACAGTGGTTTTATGGCTGCACATGCTGACATCAAAGCAGTAATACTGTCACTTTAATATGTAAACATAAGTTCAAATAGTCCTCTCTGTCACAATAGCACAGCTTGTTATAAGTGGGAACAATCTGCATAACACACTGAAAGCCTCCTTAGCCTGTATGTGCTTAATTAAGTATGAATGCATTTGTTTGTAAACTGTGGTTGATTGGTAAGTCATCAGTGGGCCTGAGTGTGCAGGACTGCCTTTGTTTCTGCCTGCATGAGACTGGTTGTGTGATTCCACTTGAAAAGGACATCAAAACAAGACTCCCACTAGCATGAATATAGCTTTCAGAGTATTTTTGTGGGTTCTGGGCCCCGTTCCTCAAAGCGATCGTAGCGCTAAGGTGATCGTAACTCCCATACTTTAACATAGACTTACGACTGTCGTAGCGCTACGATCGCTTTGAGGAACGGGGCCCTGATCGGATCTCCCAGGTAGTATAACCAGCATGTGACATGAACAACTTGTGACATTACAGAAGGGTGTCATGCTGTCCATCAACAACACCAGAGACCTCAGCTCCACAGTGGGAAGGTTCTATCTGCCTCTCAATCGGACAGCAAAGGAGGACCCTGTTTTTTCTCTACCCTACATAGATGAGGCTGACAGAGGTAGGTTAATGAATCATAGATGGGTCTGATGGAAGTGTGACTATGTTAGCCAACATAGATGAGTCTGATGGAAGTGTGAATATGTTATCCCATCATAGATGGGTCTGATGGAAGTGTGACTATGTTATCCCATCATAGATGAGTCTGATGGAAGTGTGACTATGTTATCCCATCATAGATGAGTCTGATGGAAGTGTGACTATGTTATCCCATCATAGATGAATCTGATGGAAGTGTGACTATGTTATCCCATCATAGATGAATCTGATGGAAGTGTGACTATGTTATCCCATCATAGATGAGTCTGATGGAAGTGTGACTATGTTATCCCATCATAGATGAGTCTGATGGAAGTGTGACTATGTTATCCCATCATAGATGAATCTGATGGAAGTGTGACTATGTTATCCCATCATAGATGAATCTGATGGAAGTGTGATTATGTTATCCCATCATAGATGAGTCTGATGAAGTGTGATGTTATCCCATTATGTTATCCCATCATAGATGAATCTGATGGAAGTGTGACTATGTTATCCCATCATAGATGAATCTGATGGAAGTGTGATTATGTTATCCCATCGTTAGTGTTCCCCCTAGGATTCAGAAAGGGCAGGGTAACTTAAACAAAAAGGGCACTTCATAATCTAATAGGGCACTTTGGTGAGGATTATTGAAAAAATAACAATAACAAAATGTATATGAAGTCAAATGCTCTTATAATTTTATTTCGAAAGTTCATTTATTACTCTTCTCATTTTGTATTTTAAGATCAAAATTTGGGAAAAAAAGCATTTCAAGACATTAATCTGTTGTCACATTTGTTTACAATTTCACAAAACACGCAAACAACAATTTACAGTCTTCTTTTCTTTCTTGCCAAGCATTTGTTCACAACTTTTTTCATGTCAATGTCTGAAACTGACGATGCATTCAGGCTAATCAAGAGAAGTCTGTTGCAATTTTGAACACTGAGTCTGTTTCTATGATCTGTCACAATCAGTTTCACTTTTGAGAACACTCTCTCAACTTCAGAAGTGGACAATCACAGTTGCATGAATGGACAGTAATTGAACAATGTTTGGATTCAAGTTTCCAAGTTGAGGCTTGAGTCTTCAAAATGGTGGAGGGTGAACTGGTGTCAAGCTCCTTTACTTGACTCCACTCAATCTGTGTTTGGTCGACATTAAGTCCATTTCTGCCCTTGGTGTTCCACTTAGAACATAATGAACAAAACATCATTCCCTTCTTTTGTCATCTTCTGAGTACCTCTCGACCAGGGACGGTTTTGTTGCCACTTTGTGTCAAATGCAGTCTTGTGACCACCATCTTTCTTCTGTGTTGGATTAACTGACTCTGTCTCGTGTGCCCTTGAATTTTCATAGGAAACCGACTCTGACTCGTCTAAGTCCGGTCTGAAACAAAATATATACAAAGTTAATATACCATATTCAAAATATTCTTAGATACTAAATTTGCAATCATAATTATTAAAACAAAAATACACACAATAATACACCTGAACGTAAGTATCTACTGTGGAGAGCTTCGACAAGGGTGTGGCTTCCCATTGTTTGAAATCGTAAAATAGTTTTACTCCTTCAAGACTTACATTTTTATGAAATCGACAATAAACACTAAAAACAAGGCTACCAAGTGAAGCTGTTATGCAAGCTGTATTAACTATTTCATTTCCCAGGACAAACAACAAAATAATTCAAGATCAATTTCAAATTGCCGATGGATTCAAAATGGCGGACATTTTCGAGTTTCAGATTTTCGTTGTCTTTAATAAATGAAGGTCTTATTTGAAAGGCATGTGAAATTGAAAGGGAAATCAACGGCCTAAAAATCACGAACTTAGAGGCACATACCTGTTAGGAGCGAAGAAATCTATTAGTCGGCGACACTTCCTTGCTTCAACCTTCACCGCTTCTTCTCTTTTCCATTTGATTCTTTCCTTGGTAGGCATTGTGATTTGTAAAGCGAATTAAACACATTTGACTTCGCCATGGTTTAAATGCCAATTTCCTAATCATTATCAAAACAATTTTACGCCTCCCCTTGAAAGGGAGAGAACTCCGTCCTTAATAAAATCCGGAAAATACACACGGGTTCTTGTAAAATCAAGCACAGCTGGAAAAAAAAAACTGGGATTGGGGCGAAAAGGGCAGGGCGCAAAACAAAAAGGGCAGGGCGCAAAAATCAAAGGGCAGGGCTCAGCGCCCTCCTAAATGTGCCTAGGGGGAACACTAATCGTAGATGGGTCTGATGGAAGTGTGACTATGTTATCCCATCATAGATGAGTCTGATGGAAGTGTGACTATGTAATCCCATCATAGATGAATCTGATGGAAGTGTGACTATGTTATCCCATCATAGATGAGTCTGATGGAAGTGTGACTATGTTATCCCATCATAGATGAATCTGATGGAAGTGTGACTATGTTATCCCATCATAGATGAATCTGATGGAAGTGTGACTATGTTATCCCATCATAGATGGGTCTGATAGAAGTGTGACTATGTTATCCCATCATAGATGAGTCTGATGGAAGTGTGACTATGTTATCCCATCATAGATGAGTCTGATGGAAGTGTGACTATGTTATCCCATCGTAGATGGGCCTGATGGAAGTGTGACTATGTTATCCCATCATAGATGAGTCTGATGGAAGTGTGACTATGTTATCCCATCATAGATGAATCTGATGGAAGTGTGACTATGTTATCCCATCATAGATGAATCTGATGGAAGTGTGACTATGTTATCCCATCATAGATGGGTCTGATGGAAGTGTGACTATGTTATCCCATCATAGATGAGTCTGATGGAAGTGTGAGTATGTTATCCCATCATAGATGAATCTGATGGAAGTGTGACTATGTTATCCCATCATAGATGGGTCTGATGGAAGTGTGACTATGTTATCCCATCATAGATGAGTCTGATGGAAGTGTGACTATGTTATCCATCATAGATGGAGTCTGATGGAAGTGTGACTATGTTATCCCATCATAGATGGGTCTGATGGAAGTGTGACTATGTTATCCCATCATAGATGAATCTGATGGAAGTGTGACTATGTTATCCATCATAGATGGAGTCTGATGGAAGTGTGACTATGTTATCCCATCATAGATGAGTCTGATGGAAGTGTGACTATGTTATCCCATCATAGATGAGTCTGATGGAAGTGTGACTATGTTATCCCATCATAGATGAGTCTGATGGAAGTGTGACTATGTTATCCCATCATAGATGAATCTGATGGAAGTGTGACTATGTTATCCCATCATAGATGAGTCTGATGGAAGTGTGACTATGTTATCCCATCATAGATGAATCTGATGGAAGTGTGACTATGTTATCCATCATAGATGAGTCTGATGGAAGTGTGATATGTTATCCCCATCATAGATGAGTCTGATGGAAGTGTGATCTATGTTATCCCATCATAGATGAGTCTGATGGAAGTGTGACTATGTTATCCCATCATAGATGAGTCTGATGGAAGTGTGACTATGTTATCCATCATAGATGAGTCTGATGGAAGTGTGACTATGTTATCCATCATAGATGAGTCTGATGGAAGTGTGACTATGTTATCCCATCATAGATGGGTCTGATGGAAGTGTGACTATGTTATCCATCATAGATGAATCTGATGGAAGTGTGACTATGTTATCCCATCATAGATGGGTCTGATGGAAGTGTGACTATGTTATCCCATCATAGATGAGTCTGATGGAAGTGTGACTATGTTATCCCATCATAGATGAGTCTGATGGAAGTGTGACTATGTTATCCATCATAGATGGAGTCTGATGGAAGTGTGACTATGTTATCCCATCATAGATAGTCTGATGATGGAAGTGTGACTATGTTATCCATCATAGATGAGTCTGATGGAAGTGTGACTATGTTATCCATCATAGATGAGTCTGATGGAAGTGTGACTATGTTATCCATCATAGATGAGTCTGATGGAAGTGTGACTATGTTATCCATCATAGATGAGTCTGATGGAAGTGTGACTATGTTATCCCATCATAGATGAGTCTGATGGAAGTGTGACTATGTTATCCCATCATAGATGAGTCTGATGGAAGTGTGACTATGTTATCCCATCATAGATGGAGTCTGATGGAAGTGTGACTATGTTATCCATCATAGATGAGTCTGATGGAAGTGTGACTATGTTATCCCATCATAGATGGAGTCTGATGGAAGTGTGACTATGTTATCCCATCATAGATGAGTCTGATGGAAGTGTGACTATGTTATCCCATCATAGATGGAGTCTGATGGAAGTGTGACTATGTTATCCATCATAGATGGAGTCTGATGGAAGTGTGACTATGTTATCCCATCATAGATGATGGAATTCTGATGGAAGTGTGACTATGTTATCCCATCATAGATGAGTCTGATGGAAGTGTGACTATGTTATCCCATCATAGATGAGTCTGATGGAAGTGTGACTATGTTATCCATCATAGATGAATCTGATGGAAGTGTGACTATGTTATCCCATCATAGATGAGTCTGATGGAAGTGTGACTATGTTATCCCATCATAGATGAGTCTGATGGAAGTGTGACTATGTTATCCCATCATAGATGAATCTGATGGAAGTGTGACTATGTTATCCCATCATAGATGAGTCTGATGGAAGTGTGACTATGTTATCCCATCATAGATGAGTCTGATGGAAGTGTGACTATGTTATCCCATCATAGATGAGTCTGATGGAAGTGTGACTATGTTATCCCATCATAGATGAGTCTGATGGAAGTGTGACTATGTTATCCCATCATAGATGAGTCTGATGGAAGTGTGACTATGTTATCCCATCATAGATGAGTCTGATGGAAGTGTGACTATGTTATCCCATCATAGATGGGTCTGATGGAAGTGTGACTATGTTATCCCATCATAGATGAGTCTGATGGAAGTGTGACTATGTTATCCCATCATAGATGAGTCTGATGGAAGTGTGACTATGTTATCCCATCATAGATGGAGTCCTGATGGAAGTGTGACTATGTTATCCCATCATAGATGAATCTGATGGAAGTGTGACTATGTTATCCATCATAGATGAGTCTGATGGAAGTGTGACTATGTTATCCATCATAGATGAATCTGATGGAAGTGTGACTATGTTATCCATCATAGATGAGTCTGATGGAAGTGTGACTATGTTATCCATCATAGATGAGTCTGATGGAAGTGTGACTATGTTATCCATCATAGATGAATCTGATGGAAGTGTGACTATGTTATCCCATCATAGATGGAGTCTGATGGAAGTGTGACTATGTTATCCCATCATAGATGGGTCTGATGGAAGTGTGACTATGTTATCCCATCATAGATGAGTCTGATGGAAGTGTGACTATGTTATCCATCATAGATGAGTCTGATGGAAGTGTGATGGATGTTATCCCATCATAGATGAGTCTGATGGAAGTGTGACTATGTTATCCCATCATAGATGAGTCTGATGGAAGTGTGACTATGTTATCCCATCATAGATGAGTCTGATGGAAGTGTGACTATGTTATCCCATCATAGATGAGTCTGATGGAAGTGTGACTATGTTATCCCATCATAGATGAGTCTGATGGAAGTGTGACTATGTTATCCATCATAGATGAGTCTGATGGAAGTGTGACTATGTTATCCCATCATAGATGAGTCTGATGGAAGTGTGACTATGTTATCCATCATAGATGAGTCTGATGGAAGTGTGACTATGTTATCCATCATAGATGAGTCTGATGGAAGTGTGACTATGTTATCCCATCATAGATGAATCTGATGGAAGTGTGACTATGTTATCCCATCATAGATGAGTCTGATGGAAGTGTGACTATGTTATCCCATCATAGATGAGTCTGATGGAAGTGTGACTATGTTATCCATCATAGATGAGTCTGATGGAAGTGTGACTATGTTATCCCATCATAGATGAGTCTGATGGAAGTGTGACTATGTTATCCCATCATAGATGAATCTGATGGAAGTGTGACTATGTTATCCATCATAGATGAGTCTGATGGAAGTGTGACTATGTTATCCCATCATAGATGAGTCTGATGGAAGTGTGACTATGTTATCCCATCATAGATGAATCTGATGGAAGTGTGACTATGTTATCCCATCATAGATGGGTCTGATGGAAGTGTGACTATGTTATCCCATCATAGATGAGTCTGATGGAAGTGTGACTATGTTATCCCATCATAGATGAGTCTGATGGAAGTGTGACTATGTTATCCCATCATAGATGAGTCTGATGGAAGTGTGATATGTTATCCCATCATAGATGAGTCTGATGGAAGTGTGACTATGTTATCCCATCATAGATGAGTCTGATGGAAGTGTGATTATATGTCTATCCCTATGTTATCCCATCATAGATGAGTTTGATGGAAGTGTGACTATGTTATCCCATCATAGATGAATCTGATGGAAGTGTGACTATGTTATCCCATCATAGATGAATCTGATGGAAGTGTGACTATGTTATCCCATCATAGATGAGTCTGATGGAAGTGTGACTATGTTATCCCATCATAGATGAGTCTGATGGAAGTGTGACTATGTTATCCCATCATAGATGAGTCTGATGGAAGTGTGACTATGTTATCCCATCATAGATGAGTCTGATGGAAGTGTGAGTATGTTATCCCATCATAGATGAATCTGATGGAAGTGTGACTATGTTATCCCATCATAGATGAGTCTGATGGAAGTGTGACGATGTTATCCCATCATAGATGAATCTGATGGAAGTGTGACTATGTTATCCCATCATAGATGAGTCTGATGGAAGTGTGACGATGTTATCCCATCATAGATGGGTCTCATGGAAGTGTGACTGTTAGTGTTATCCCATCATAGATGGGTCTCATGGAAGTGTGACTATGTTATCCCATCATAGATGGGTCTCATGGAAGTGTGACTATGTTATCCCATCATAGATGGGTCTCATGGAAGTGTGACTATGTTATCCCATCATAGATGGGTCTCATGGAAGTGTGACTATGTTATCCCATCATAGATGGGTCTCATGGAAGTGTGACTGTTATCCCATCATAGATGGGTCTGATGGAAGTGTGACTATGTTATCCCAACATAGATAAGTCTCACGGAGGTGTCAATATGTTCTTAGCATAGATGAGTCTGATGAAGGTGTATGTTAATCCTACACAGATTGTACACAATACATATTATTTAAACCTTTCTGTCAAAGGGAAGTAACTGTAATCCATTGTTTCAGTGTCAACCATCACGAGTTAATGGTTCTGTCCAGTTGCCCTTTAGTGAAATGAGTAAAATGGATTGATAAATGTAATATTTTGAGAATGAAATGATCCTATCCCATCTTCTATGTGTACAGGCCTGACTATGAGCATCAGCCAACCATGTTTCCCCAATGTGGGTGATGTGAACCACCTGATTGGCATGGTGGGTGTGGACCTGCACATGGAAGACATCGTCCAGGATATCACCTACTACAACCCAGGAGATGGCTCATATGCATTTGTTGTCACAACTGATGGTCAGTCACAGTTTATTTATAACATATAATTGCTCAATTATTATTGATCTAATTTAACACTTTCGTTAATTTTAGAGTCCTTCTAATGACACCAGTAGGCTCAGGAAGAGCAGATTGTTTGTGCAATAGCCAAAGAATAGATTTGGATACTTATTTAACTAGATAGAATGGGATATTTTGGTGTTAGCTATCTACAATTTGCAAGCTGTTCCTATTCTTTGATAGGCATTTATAAGTTTATTGCCCTGGAAGTTGTTTGTCATAAATATTTGAGTGTCCTTAGAAGCTTTTCCTGGATACAAATAAGGCCAATTGTTTCAGTATCGTCTGATCATTGGTTTTCGGACAACACAGGTTTTACATGACACTTAATTGACTAAACAGTTTTATACAATACTCCTCAAATATTTTCATACGAGTCACAGCTGACTCATTGTTTTCAAATTGTTTTCAAATTTACTCCAGTAAATACAATAACCATGCAGTGTGTCAGTTACAACAACAGAGGACAATATCGTAAGATGTGCATTCACAGCCCTTTCTTTATTTTGAATTAATATTGGAATTATTTCATTTCTTTGAGTGGCATTTTAGAAGTTGAGAAGTACAATATGAACACACTTTATGGACACTTCTTTTATTATACCCCCGCTACGAAGTAACGGGGGTATATAGCGTTCATTCTGTCCGTCCGTCCTTCCGTCCCGAAACTTTGTCTGGAGCATATCTCTTAAAGGTTACATGCTAGGTTCACCAAACTTCACACACATGTTAATCTTTACCCATTGATGTGCCTTTTGCTATTTTAAAGTTTTTCAGAATTTGTTTTGTTGTTGTTTACATGGAAACATGACTTGGTGCAAAATGTGTTTGATGGTTACCTGGCCACAGCATATCATCGAAACTATACATGCTAGGTTCACCAAACTTAATACACAAGTTAATCATGACCCACAGATATGCCATGTGCTAAAAAAATAACAATCTTCATCTACGTCCACTTCATTGTGTGCAACAAGTTCAATTGTATGTCAGGTTTCCACGGAAAACACAAAAAAGTAATGTTTCCATAAATTATTACTGTAATCAGTACATGGCAAAACTATTATCTAAGATGTATATAAAGTTTAGTAGAGTCAAAGAGAAAGTCTTGTGAGCTGCTGATCCTTGTCACATTATATATATCAATATCAGTCATTTCCATGTCCCAAAGTGGGAAGCGGGGGTATGTGAGCTGTGCTGACTTCTACACTTGTTGCGTGAGTGCGACATTTCGATACAGATTCTTGTACCATTGTCAATTCCTGCTTAACAACAGTACAAAAAATCTATATTGAACGTCGCACTCATTAAATACAAGACGTTGTTATCCTTCAAGTTTGTTCATATTTCATTGACATGTTTTCATGACTCACAAATTATGTGTCAGCATGACTCCCAAGGACATTTACCGTGAATCACTATGACTACCATTTTTCTAAGTCTATGAAAAACCCTGACAGAAGTGTTTACTGTCACTATAATGAGGTAGTTTGTGTCTCACAGACCTTGTACACACTCCGATGATAGCTTGTGTTTAAGATAAAGTTGTCTTTATTGAGTTAGTGACATGTTTTACAATTGCTCCTGCAATAATCGAGAAAACAGCGGATGTTCTTATACTCTTAAGCATCCAAACAGTCAGTTTCTGGTGTCCCCACCGTGATATTGCTGTAATATTGTAAACTCATTCATTCACTTAAATAGCATTCTTTAAATGGTTCAATTTAAACAGAATTGTACATTAAACATTGATGTAAAGAAAACAACTAAATATCAATTTGTTGTGCTGATTATGGCAATTTGTTTGCATTTCAGGTTTTACAATTATGCACCCATCCTTTGAGCGTCCGATCCGTACCAGTGTCCAGCCAATGCATACAGACATTCGGCACTTTGAAAATTATGAAGGATTTGAAGATATCCCGAGATAAGATTCTAAAGTAAGAAAAATATCTATGGAAACTAAAATGATTTTTTTCTTTGTTGAAAATAATTATGTACAATCTAATCAAACATCTGATATTGTTAGAAAACTCTCTTGCAATTACTGGAGTCTTGTCCAAGCTGGTGTACGGTGTGTTTTGTTGTGTCAGCCACGAGGAAGGGGGAGGAGAGACTGCTCCTGGGGCTGCGGAACCACACCAACCTGGAGGGAGACATCATTGAGACACAGCACTTCTGCAAATACCTCTGGAATAAGGTTGGTCATTTCAATTATGATGAACTTCATACTCTATCCTACAATTCTGCAAGTTTACCTCTTCACATTTTCTAAGGTGATACACCTCACTGTTGTGAGTGGCATCATTCACCTGCCTGGAACAGCTTGTGATGGCTCTCAATCCTACATTGTTATCATTGACTTATCATGCCTTATCCATACTCTCGGGTTTGGTCTTCTGTCACCTTAACTCTCTTCCAAAACTGTTGAAAGCAATATTGTAGCATTTCTGAGAACATTGTTTTAACTTATCCTGAACTGAAACCTGTGGATATTCTCACACTAGAGATATGTCACCCATAGTTACTTTTGTGAATTGTTACTTGTCATGTAAAATGTTTGGCTTGGACATTAAACCAATGATTATATGGGAGGGGTAACAGTAGGGATAACTTTTCGAAGACAATGCAACAAACTCAAAATACTTTTGGTATTGTATTTCTGTATTTGTACATGCAACTGCGGTGTTCATGTAAACCACTCTCTGTTGTATAGGTGGAAAATGTGCCATACATTGTCGTCATCAAGGTGCTTGAGGAACGCTCCGAGACCCGCCAGCTCAAAAACATCCACAGTATGTAACATATAGCAATGATTGTCAACACCCTGTGTTGTCCACATGTTCAGAGAAAGTTGCTTTATATGCTATTTTGTGTAGACAATTGCTGGAAGTATTTGCTGTTTATTGTGTATTGTGTGAGATTATTGTGAGTTAATGCTGTTTTGTTGTTCAGTCCACAGCCAGCCTGACCTGGTGTATCATCGTATTGACCTGCTCCCCACAGAGAACATGTGTCTCCACCTCAAGCAGCTGGCCACTGTCGGTCAGTATCACTCTCAGCCTGCACCTAATAAAATTGGTTCGCTATCTAAATAATTAAGTGTCACAAATGGAAAACGGGAGAATTTCTTAAATATTTGACAAGATTTTTCTTTTTAACACTATGAGACAGTTGTCATTGATGTGCATCCATCTGTGAGGAATTGAGGGTGATGATGGGGAATAAGTGGTCACCCAAAAGTATTCCTGCTTGTCTTCTTGGAAGTCAGACAATACAACAAAAATCAATTCATGTAAATAAAAACAATAGATGTTGATGTACGTTTGGTCAACACACATGAAGAATGACACGTTTCTATTGAGTTTGGTTCTATTTAGTAAATCAGGTATTTACATGGACCACTTTTACCTCCCATGATTGTAAAGAGATGTTACTGGTTATTGCATTGCAGATATCAGCACTGTGTTCATGTCCCCAAGTAGCTTTGTAAGTCCATTTGAACACCTCAGTCAGGATGAAAACAAGAGAACAGTCCAAATGTATCTGGCCTACTTGAAAGATGACACAAGACTCATCACCAACCCAGGTCTTAAGGTAGGCACCAACCTCCAGGCCCATACTCCTTTAACATGGTGCACTGGTAATCTCAGGCTCCTGGACCTGGGAGTACATCAGTCTCAGGCTCCTGGGGCATGTAGCACTGTCAGTCTCATATCCCAGGACAAGAGTACTGTCTGTTTCAGTCATATATGTATGTATTTAGCTTAGCCCTGACATGTGATGTTCGCTATGGTATACACTAATGATGGGATTGTTGCAAGTGCTGAGAGTATGGTGTGATGGATTTTCCATGTGAGTACATGTGTTGATGTCAACATAAGAGCTGAACATTGTCACTGTTTGTGCCAGGTTGCTGTGCGTAATGATGTTGCAGCCAGCAGTCGGATCAACTCAGAGTGGATCCGCAGATACTCCACCAGTAGACTGAAGGACTACATCATCCGCAGGTGAGGAGGCAGAATAATGGATCAACTTATAAAATAATTCCTCAAAAGATAGATCATCCTCTCAAGGGGTAGCATTTCAGGAAATGTACACTAACCTCTGGATCCATTCCTGTGGTTCTTTTAAATAAAAAAATTACCTGCCCTGATTTTTATCAAAATTTTATTGACCAATCAAACATTGACATAAGTGAAAGGGTAAGGGAGGTAACTTGTATTACTTAGAAACCAAAGTCAGTACTCATTTTAATGGACATGAAGACATCCTTTTCATCCTTTCCATGTGATCTTTTATGTCTGTCTTTTGTGTGTCAGTTTTTGTTCCCCGCCGCAACGCGGAAGGGGGGACTATGTATTCAGCAGGGTCTGTACGTCCGTCCGTCTCGATTCTTGTTTATGCGATATATCTCATGAAATGTTGTACCCAATGTCTTCAAATTTAGTGACAGCCTGCTTTGGCGGATTACACAGACATCAGTTGATTTGGGTGACCTTGTCCTTATTTTCAAGGTCACCACGACACTTTGACCACTTTTCAAACTCTTGTTAATGTGATAGCTCATGAACTGTTGTACCCAATGTCTTCAAATTTGGTGACAGTCTACATTTGGTGATTACAGGGACACCAGTCGATTTAGGTGACCTTGACCTTATCTTCAAGGTCACCATGACACTTCGACCACTTTTCAAACTTATGTAAACGCGATATCTCATAAAACGTTGCACCCAATGTCTTCAATTATGTCGACAGTCTACTCAATATTGAGTCTGGTTTGTAACTTGCATTCTGATGGATATGTTAGACCTAGTAACGCACACAATAAAATTAGGAAATGGAAAAAGGGCTGATAATCTAAATTTGCAAGAACCAGTAATTAGTCTAGGTTTACCAAAGTAAATGTAAGCCCTGTAGGTCTGCACTAGCTATTATTCAACCGTTATGGGAAACAAATTGGTCATAGAGTCGAAACTCCATGTAGAAGATTTGATTGACTGTTACAGGTATGTGGCCACTCCGAGTGGTGTGTTCCGGATGTTTCCAGGGACACTACTAGACAAAACATTTGATCCAACTAAACGCTCATGGTGAGTTTTTGTCATGTTTTATCTGTCATGTATTCAGTTTAAAAATGTATTTTCTGATGTAACTTGTTCTAAAATAATATATATAAATGTTTCACTTTACAAAGGAAATAACAGCAAATAATATTCCTGCAGGTACACACGAGCTATGGAGTTCCCAGGGCACGTGACTCTTACAGCGCCATACTTGGATGTTGGTGGTGCCGGCTACATTGTCACCATCAGTCACACCATATTTGAGGGAAAGTAAGTGGCATCCACCTCAATCTGTTGCTTCATTTGCTTCCAATTATGTTACTATAAGAACTGTATTCATTGTACAGACTTGTTCTCATTAATTCATGATCTATATGTAGTCAGTATTCTATCAAATAACTATTTTCTGCTGTGCTTTATTCAGACCAGCAGCACTGCATAGCCCTAAGGACCGTGTGGTTGCTGTGATGGGCATGGACATCACTTTAGGCTACTTCCACAAGCTCCTGTCAGAGAGCATCCCAGCCTGTGAACAGCCCACAGTCAGGTGTGTATAGTCTCTCCCACTCAGACAGCTGCTTGTAGCAGTACTACACAGGTTTATATTCTTGTAGTCTTACCGTATATCCATCAATACTGTATAATACTGTATAGTTTTACGTACAGGATCATCTGAAATTTGTCAATAGAATTTGGCAAAACAGTTAAATTTACATATATATTTATTTCAGTTTTGTATTGAAATAAACTACAAAGTATCAACAACATATGACATCACACCAGTGATATCTAACCAGTAATCCAGACCTTAGTTCCCTTTCTGTTTCATCTATTGGCAAGTGTTGGGAAAGACGTGTATCGATGACTACAGTAGTAGTTAAACAGAACTAAGCCTACTAAATTGGGACTTATATAATTGGCAATTTTTCTATAAAAAGTGGTAACACCAACCAAAGTACATTGAACATAAAACATCAGCAAATCCATAGTGAATTATGCAAGTTAATCATATTGTTACACTATCTGGTGTTAAAACATGTTCATTGACTTTCTTGACCTCTGTTTGTTATCTAGTTCATTAATTTTACTCAAAATTTCATTCAATGATGGTTATATTAATTGTGTCGTAATTGTGCGCCCCTTCGATACAACTTATGTTGACATTATTCACAGCAACCATGATCATATTACCATAGCTGACGGAGAAAAGATATAAATATCATTAATTAGGCTACTTAATTCGACTCATTAAGTCATATTTTTGTAGCTGTATGATAACATGTCAACAAACTGTTTTTGCACTGGAAATATCATGATTGCATGGAACCACAGTGGTGAGGAAAAGTATCCGACAATGCTGCCACATAATCCTAGTTATGATTTTATTTTATTTTATATTTAGGCCAAACCAATTTTATTTATTGTTTTATGGATTGTTGTCCTCAGAAAACCTTAAGGCAAGGCAGGAGGAAAAACAAATAAAGATAAAAATCACCAGTCAAAGTAATATTCCTTTGAAATATTAAAAGTATATTACTTTTGGCAATTTATGAAGTGTATATGGGGCAAAAAACAACCTAAAAACATTTTTTTGCACATTTACCTTTTTGGCCAATAAAAATATTAAAAGTTTATTTGAGCGGGGAAAATTTAAAAAAATAAATCTTCATATTCTTGAAAAATTACGACCGGCGGATCCATAAATCAAGAAATAAAATTGGTCTGGCCTCACATGGGTACAATGTGTGAAGCCCATTTCTGGTGTCCTCAGCCGTGATGTTGCTGGAATATTGCTAAAAGCGGAGTAAAACCAAACTCAGTCAGTCAGTAATAAATCAAGTATTATTTCATAATGTTAAGCTTGATACATGTGTCACAATGAGAGCTGATGTTTGGTAACTTGCAGAAAAGCTGTTCAGTATTTGTTTGCAACTCTATTGGTGTAGCTAGCTATGATGGGTAGCCTTCAGCTAATTGAGGTAAAACATGTCTGTAGGTGCTTCCTGATGGAGGACAAGGGCTACCTGGTGGCTCACCCTGGGCTCATCGACCCCAACGGAAAAGGACCAGTAGAGCAGCAGCATATCACACACAAGGTAGGCAGAGCTGACAATATTACTGTTACTTCTAATATGGAATATAGGTGTCATGTAAATTGTTGTCCCTCGCCGCAACGCGGAACAGGGGACTATGTATTCAGCGGCGTCCGTACGTATGTATGTCTCGATTCTTGTTAACACGATATCTCATTAACTGCTGTACCCAGTGTCTTCAAATTTGGTGACAGCCTACGATGGGGGATTACCCAGACACCAGTCGATTTCGTCATATGAGCGAAATATTCTCAAGCACAACATTAAACCCAATTTCACCTCACCTCACAGTTGTTTTTGGAGACCTTGGCCATATCTTCAAGGTCACCACAACACTTTGACCACTTTTCAAACATAAGTAAACGCGATATCTCAAAAAACATTGCACCCAATGTCTTTATTTATGTCGGCAGCCTACATTGGGTGATTATGCAGACACCAGTCATTTCAGGCATCTTTTATGTGACCAAAAAATATAAGGTAGTAAATATGTTATAGATATTCCATTCTTTAGCAGCGGGGGACATTGCCATATCTGTAGCAACCACTTGTGTTCAGAGTGTTTATGGGTTATATGCTATATGAATGTAAGTAAGAGAGAAATCAAGATATAATCTATTACAATTACCTTCTTTTCATTTCTGGTCAGAGTTATCTCCTCCTGAACTCTCATATCCCATCTTATCAAGTTGTCGATGCAGGTGTTCCTTGACCCTGGGCCTTTGTTGTTATTGTATAACATGTGGGGAGTCTTTCCTTGGAAGGCTACTCATTACGATAGTGCAGTGATTTGTTGTGATGTTTCACTTTATGGGTCGGTAGTCATAGTCCGGTTGGCTCAAATGCGGACTGATGAATTGCAGTCTAACTCGAAAACTAATAAACATATAATACTCAATGAAACGCTGATAATCAAAACATCAGACCAACTCTTAGAGCTTTTTGCAGAATTTATGTCCTAAAAATAAAAAAGTTTAAATAATTTTTTTTGACACAGTTCACTATTTGTTACGAGGGAAGAGTGCAAAGACAGGAACAGCCAGGTCTACACAACGCACATGCACAAGTGCCGACAAAGTTATTGAGTCATTTACTTGTGCTGTGCCATCGCAATACTTTCTTGCACACCTGGCTGTTCCTCTCTATGGTGGCATTACTTCACAGGAATGGGTGATCTTTAATGAATGAGATTCTACAGCAGCACCATTACTGGGAAGTCATGTGGAGCACTTGACCTTTAAGGCTTTAGGCTATTTTGCCATATGACCCAGAGGCCAAGGTTCAGTGTATTGCTGCTTTATGTGCATATGACCAAGAAGTTGTGGAGATGTACTGCTGGCATGTATGTATAAGTGGGGTTCACCTTATTCCCTGTTATCAGATCGAAGAGAAGAAGTCTGCAATAGTTTGACTCAAGTATATTGTTATATCAAATATCCTAGTTTATGTAACATTGCTATAAGATGTGTGCTACATTTAAGACAAGTGCATCAGCTGTTGATATTTTATACACACTCTACATTTATGTATGCCACAGCTTCCGTTTCGAAAGTATTGTTCCTGAGATGACACATTAATGAATCCTGTTTGCAGGAACCTTTGGTTGCCAATGATATATTGTACCACACTGGCTTTGTGCAGAAGAAAGTGTGCAACAAGTATAATGACCGGACAGTACAGAGATTTTACAATGTAAGTATAAAGTGTATTTACCGTATTGACAGATATAACCTTTAACCTGCTTTAATGTGTAATTGAAGTAATCAGTGTTAATAAAATAGCAAATGTTGAGGGGAGTTATGTGTATTAATGTGCACTATCTGGGTATTGCACTTGTTTCAGTTCAACACCAGCCTGAATGGAGTGCTCACCAACATGGTGCATGGAGAGCATTGTGCTAGATATCAGGTATTGTCTTTCAACTCACTGCAGTTACGAAAATGGGTAAATGTGTCCTGTTCACTCAGAAATTCATGTATTGCAGAGCCACAGATAACTTTTTGAGTCACTGGGTTATGTACTCACTTGTGTTCATCTCAGTTGGGTATCCATATATTCCTTTGAATAACCAAATAAATTGTACTCACCTCACTCACTCATTTGGGTATTTGTCATTTTCCATTAATTTTAAAAATATAATAAAGTTTAAAGGCTAGTGTTTGTTATTTATATTTGATCTGTAATATGAGAAACGATAAGAAAGACTGCAAGTTCCCATGTTCATGTCCTGATATAGAACCTCTCAATATACCTCAGTTATTTTATCTATCCATCGGTACGCAAGCTAAGAGTTGACGTGTTTGTGTGTACGCATGTAAGATCACATTTATTGAGTATTTACAAAAATAAAAGCGTACATGTATGCAATGGACTTGATGGGAATTGAGTTTTCGCGTAAATATTTGTGTAATTTACACAGATACGCAGCTTATCTGTACCTCTGATTGTGGAGGAACTTTTGAAACGTACAGCTATGTATTTGATTCCACCTTAAATCAGAACTGTTTCATCAAAAAAGTGTTGGCAAATAATCCAGCCATGTAGACTACTTCTGATATTATTGAAAGATGTTTTACCATTTCCAGATGACACACATCCCTGGAACAAATGCCTTTCTTGGTATTGTCAACCATACCTGTGAGACGGCCACTGCATTCTGTCCATGCAGCATGGTGGACAGGCTCTGTCTTAACTGTAACCGCATGGAGCAGAATGAATGTGAGTGTCCATGTGAATGCCCACTTGAGATGAACCTGTGTACAGGGGAACTGATGGACTTCGAAGACCTGTAAGTACCTTATCTCTATGTTACTGATATCTATTGAAACGTGGAACATAAGGGCCATTTAGCCCACACAATACTGATAATCCAAATCTGATTGCAGTGAGTAAAACATTATAAGGTGGTGCTTTAATAGACAAATCTTCAGTAGACTTTTCAGCTGTACTAAACATTAGACTTATTGTTACAGTAACCCAAGCTGCTTCCATGCCCCTGAGGAGGAGCGTCTGGTTGTTGCTGAGCCAGTTATTGTGGAAGATCTCCAACAATGTTACCAGCCTCGATGTGACCAGCGCAAGTCCAAGATGTGAGTAGCAGCTACTTAGGACAAGTTAAGAAATTTGTTATCCCCCGGTTTGAAAAATTGGGAATATAGCAATCAACATGTCTGTGTGATATTTTCCAGAACAATTGGCTGTTTGTTAAAAATACCATACAGATCAGTCTAGCCTTTTGATGATTTTGGATTCTTAAGAATACTGACCATCAATACTTTTTCTTCACTGAACTAAGATACCCAATGTAATTGAAACAAAAGTAGCAAAACTCCAACAAATTGCACCAGACCAGATGGTTGTCATCTCCTGTTTTTGACGATGCTTTTGCTGCAGATTTTGATCATCCACACATCGTTACAAAGTTGACTTCGAAATAGCCTTCATGAAATGCTAGCTAAACTACAGGGTAGCAGTTTTATGATGTGCAGAGAAAGCATTCATAGCTTGTTGTTTTGCATTGACTGTGTGGGTGTGTTGAATTGTGGGTGAATCTACATAGAACTTGTTGTTTTGCAGGAACTGTATTGCATGTGTTGAATTGTGGGTGAATCTACATAGAACTTGTTGTTTTGCATTGACTGTATGGGTGTGTTGAATTGTGGTTGAATCTACATTGAACTTGTTGTTTTGCATTGACTGTGTGGGTGTGTTGAATTGCGGGTGAATCTACATAGAACTTGTTGTTTTGCAGGAACTGTATTGCATGTGTTGAATTGTGGTTGAATCTACATTGAACTTGTTGTTTTGCATTGACTGTATGGGTGTGTTGAATTGTGGGTGAATCTACATAGAACTTGTTGTTTTGCAGGAACTGAATTGCATATGTTGAATTGTGGGTGAATCTACATAGAACTTGTTGTTTTGCATTGACTGTATGGGTGTGTTGAATTGTGGGTGAATCTACATAGAACTTGTTGTTTTGCATTGACTGTGTGGGTGTGTTGAATTGTGGGTGAATCTACATAGAACTTGTTGTTTTGCAGGAACTGTATTGCATGTGTTGAATTGTGGGTGAATCTACATAGAACTTGTGTGTTTTGTGTTGAATTGTGGGTGAATCTACATAGTGTGTTTGGTGTGTTGTTGAATTGTGGGTGAATCTACATAGAACTTGTTGTTTTGCATTGACTGTGTGGGTGTGTTGAATTGTGGGTGAATCTACATTGAACTTGTTGTTTTGCATTGACTGTATGGGTGTGTTGAATTGTGGGTGAATCTACATAGAACTTGTTGTTTTGCATTGACTGTATGGGTGTGTTGAATTGTGGGTGAATCTACATTAGAACTTGTTGTTTTGCATTGACTGTGTGGGTGTGTTGAATTGTGGGTGAATCTACATAGAACTTGTTGTTTTGCATTGACTGTGTTGCATGTGTTGAATTGTGGGTGAATCTACATAGAACTTGTTGTTTTGCATTGACTGTGTGGGTGTGTTGAATTGTGGGTGAATCTACATAGAACTTGTTGTTTTGCAGGAACTGTATTGCATGTGTTGAATTGTGGGTGAATCTACATAGAACTTGTTGTTTTGCATTGACTGTGTGGGTGTGTTGAATTGTGGGTGAATCTACATAGAACTTGTTGTTTTGCATTGACTGTGTGGGTGTGTTGAATTGTGGGTGAATCTACATAGAACTTGTTGTTTTGCATTGACTGTATGGGTGTGTTGAATTGTGGGTGAATCTACATAGAACTTGTTGTTTTGCAGGAACTGTATTGCATGTGTTGAATTGTGGGTGAATCTACATAGAACTTGTTGTTTTGCATTGACTGTGTGGGTGTGTTGAATTGTGGGTGAATCTACATAGAACTTGTTGTTTTGCAGGAACTGTATTGCATATGTTGAATTGTGGGTGAATCTACATAGAACTTGTTGTTTTGCATTGACTGTGTGGGTGTGTTGAATTGTGGGTGAATCTACATAGAACTTGTTGTTTTGCATTGACTGTGTGGGTGTGTTGAATTGTGGGTGAATCTACATAGAACTTGTTGTTTTGCATTGACTGTGTGGGTGTGTTGAATTGTGGGTGAATCTACATAGAACTTGTTGTTTTGCATTGACTGTGTGGGTGTGTTGAATTGTGGGTGAATCTACATAGAACTTGTTGTTTTGCATTGACTGTGTGGGTGTGTTGAATTGTGGGTGAATCTACATAGAACTTGTTGTTTTGCATTGACTGTATGGGTGTGTTGAATTGTGGGTGAATCTACATAGAACTTGTTGTTTTGCATTGACTGTGTGGGTGTGTTGAATTGTGGGTGAATCTACATAGAACTTGTTGTTTTGCATTGACTGTATGGGTGTGTTAAATTGTGGGTGAATCTACATAGAACTTGTTGTTTTGCATTGACTGTGTGGGTGTGTTGAATTGTGGGTGAATCTACATAGAACTTGTTGTTTTGCATTGACTGTGTGGGTGTGTTGGATTGTGGGTGAATCTACATAGAACTTGTTGTTTTGCATTGACTGTGTGGGTGTGTTGAATTGTGGGTGAATCTACATAGAACTTGTGGGGCGGTGGGGTAGCCTAATGGTCAAAGCGTTGGCTCGTCACGCTGAAAACCCGGGTTCGAATCCCCACATGGGTACAATGTGTGAAGCCCATTTCTGGTGTCCCCCGCCGTGATGTTGCTGGAATATTGCTAAAAGCGGCGTAAAACCAAACTCAGTCAGTCAGTACATAGAACTTGTTGTTTTGCATTGACTGTGTGGGTGTGTTGAATTGCGGGTGAATCTACATAGAACTTGTTGTTTTGCATTGACTGTGTGGGTGTGTTGAATTGTGGGTGAATCTACATAGAACTTGTTGTTTTGCATTGACTGTGTGGGTGTGTTGAATTGTGGGTGAATCTACATAGAACTTGTTGTTTTGCATTGACTGTATGGGTGTGTTGAATTGTGGGTGAATCTACATAGAACTTGTTGTTTTGCATTGACTGTGTGGGTGTGTTGAATTGTGGGTGAATCTACATAGAACTTGTTGTTTTGCATTGACTGTATGGGTGTGTTGAATTGTGGGTGAATCTACATAGAACTTGTTGTTTTGCATTGACTGTATGGGTGTGTTGAATTGTGGGTGAATCTACATAGAACTTGTTGTTTTGCATTGACTGTGTGGGTGTGTTGAATTGTGGGTGAATCTACATAGAACTTGTTGTTTTGCATTGACTGTGTGGGTGTGTTGAATTGTGGGTGAATCTACATAGAACTTGTTGTTTTGCAGGAACTGTATTGCATGTGTTGAATTGTGGGTGAATCTACATAGAACTTGTTGTTTTGCATTGACTGTATGGGTGTGTTGAATTGTGGGTGAATCTACATAGAACTTGTTGTTTTGCATTGACTGTGTGGGTGTGTTGAATTGTGGGTGAATCTACATAGAACTTGTTGTTTTGCATTGACTGTGTGGGTGTGAATCTACATAGAACTTGTTGTTTTGCATTGACTGTGTGGGTGTGTTGAATTGTGGGTGAATCTACATAGAACTTGTTGTTTTGCATTGACTGTGTGGGTGTGTTGAATTACATGGGTGAATCTACATAGAACTTGTTGTTTTGCATTGACTGTGTGGGTGTGTTGAATTGTGGGTGAATCTACATAGAACTTGTTGTGTTGAATTGTGGGTGAATCTACATAGAACTTGTTGTTTTGCATTGACTGTGTGGGTGTGTTGAATTGTGGGTGAATCTACATAGAACTTGTTGTTTTGCATCCCCTACATAGAACTTGTTGTTATCCCCCACGCGAAGCGGGGGATATAGTATTCGGCTCCGTCTGTCCGTATGAATTGGAATATCTTAAGAACCGTTCACTAGATTCTTTTCATATTTGGTACCAAGGTTCATCACAGTATAACAAAGGTTCAAATCATGGACATAGTGAGTGAGTATGGTTTTACGCCGCTTCAGCAATATTCCAGCAATATCACGGTGGGGGACACCAGAAATAGGCTTCACACATTGTGCCAATGTGGGGAATCGAACCCGGTTCTTTGGCGTGAGGAGACAACGCTTTAACATTTAGGCTACCCCACTGCCAAGAATGTACATAGAAGTTGTTGTTTTGCAGGGACTGTATGGGTGTGTTGGACTGTGAGTGGTGCCAGCTACAGGCAAATGGCAATACACGGCTCAAGACTCCCTACTGTGCTAGTCAGAGGGAATGCTTCGGTGGAGTGGTCGGAGCACCAACGCCATATGGAGATGAAATCAATGGTTAGTAGACATTCTGTCATGATAATCCTTTTACGTTTATTAAACAAACAAGACCTATGAATATTGAGCGCTGGTTATTTTACTTGTTCTCACTGCCCAAATATGTTTAAGGAGTCTAATTCACAGATGCTTACTCTTAGCTAACATATTGTCTATTGTATTAATACTTTTTTTATCATGTATTTTCCTATTTGGAAGTAAAGTTCAACATTTTTCAAATCACTCACCAGCAATAGCTTTGAACTTTGTGTGCATATCGGACATGGATATTTTCCAGCCATGGAACAAGAGTTTGACCCCAGCAAGCCAAAGAGTACCCCAGTTGGGCCTGTAGCAGGAGGGATCATGGGCTGTTTTCTCCTAGTGGCCCTGGGAGTGTACTGTTACCGCCACCATGTGCACCGCAACTCTCACCATTACATTAGCACACTACCAGACAATCAAAACCGAATGTCCCACTACTACAATGAGCCTGATGACCCAGAGCCAACTGAAGAGCCAGGAGCAGGTGTGTTGTCTCACTTTATACTGCCACATCTCGTTGATTTTGTAAAAGGTGTAGACACTCATTAACACCTTAATTGAAGAACAATTTTAAGTTTTCTTTACAATATTAAAGCTAGAAAATGCAGCTGAAAAGGGATGTCTTTGGAAGAATTGTATCATACTCAATGCTGGAGAAAAGAAAAGACTCTTGTCAATGGCCAAGGTACATTGTAATATGTCTTGTCTATTTCAGGACACACTAACTTCGTGTTGGCATCATTCGAAAACCCAGCCAGTATTTCTCCATATCGAGTCAACACATCCTACCGCCGTCCTGCTGGTGGTGATAGTGACCATGGCTACAGTACAATGACACCACATGAAGACAGTGAGCATGCAAGTTTGCCTTGCCTAGAACCTCTTCTTATTGGCAAGGACAGATACAAGCCTCATGGCCTCACAAAGACTCCTATGTTGCCCCCACCTCCAACAACCAGTAGGCGCAGTCGAAGCCCTACTCCACCACAGACTAGACTGTCCACATACATGCCCATACCAGAACAGACTGTCATACCCTCTGAGTCAATATTGGGGCCGACTACAGTGATTGCCGAAGCCCCACATAGTGTTATTGCCAATGTGCAGGTACACATGGTGGACACACACTGAACTGAAGGAAACCTGGCACTAAACTGCCAACACACTGGGCTTCATCGCGACTCTAGTGCTCACAAGCTGTGCCAGTGGTGGGAAAGGCATAGTCCGAACTTCAGTAGTCAATTTCTCAGGGATACCTCACTATGGCAAATGTAGACTATGTGTGAAGGCCAATAAACACTGGCATGACTGCCACATGGAAGAGTTATGAGTGCCAGCAGGCACCTAGTTCATCAAGGAGTACACCAGACTGAGAGTGCCAACAGGCATGGAGCTGATCAAGGAGTACACCAGATTGGGAGTGCCAACAGGCATGGAGCTGATCAAGGAGTACACCAGATTGGGAGCGCCAACAGGCATTGCTGGAGTACACCAGCCAACAGGCATGTAGCTGATCAGGGAGTACACCAGATTGGGAGTGCCAACAGGCATGTAGCTGATCAGGAGTACACCAGATTGGGAGTGCCAACAGGCATGTAGCTGATCAGGGAGTACACCAGATTGGGAGTGCCAACAGGCATGTAGCTGATCAGGGAGTACACCAGATTGGGAGTGCCAACAGGCATGTAGCTGATCAGGGAGTACACCAGATTGGGAGTGTCAACAGGCATGTAGCTGATCAGGGTGTACACTTGATTGGGAGTGCCAACAGGCATGTAGCTGATCAGGGAGTACACTTGATTGGGAGTGCCAACAGGCATGTAGCTGATCAAGGAGTTGATTGGGAGTGCCAACAGGCATGTAGCTGATCAGGGTGTACACTTGATTGGGAGCACCAACAGGCATGTAGCTGATCAAGGAGTGCACCAGATTGGGAGTGCCAACAGGCATGTAGCTAATCAGGGAGTGCACCAGATTGGGAGTGCCAACAGGCATGTAGCTGATCAGGGAGTACACTTGATTGGGAGTGCCAACAGGCATGTAGCTGATCAGGGTGTACACTTGATTGGGAGCACCAACAGGCATGTAGCTGATCAAGGAGTGCACCAGATTGGGAGTGCCAACAGGCATGTAGCTAATCAGGGAGTGCACCAGATTGGGAGTGCTAACAGGCATGTAGCTGATCAGGGAGTACACTTGATTGGGAGCACCAACAGGCAAGTAGCTGATCAAGGAGTGCACCAGATTGGTGGGTTTGGCAACCAGCAAGAAAGCATGATTATGACAACTGAATATGATGGCTGTGTGTATTTCCAACTTTGATGTGATGATATTATTTAGTGCTCTGTTCTCTCACCCTTTCACCTTTGTTCACCCTCCTTTGTGTTGGAGATGGATTGTTTTCAGTGACAAATAGGAACACCTGGTGAAAGGACACAGACTACAACAAAAGCAGTCACATATGGCAGTCATACTGTTTGCCAGAATTTTTAGAAGCGGGTGTTTGTCAAAATGGCAGTGTTTGGACCAATCTTTGAGCACTAGTACAATGTGTATTTGACCTTGTATAGGTGGAAAAACGGCATTTACTGTTTGCTATATTATCTCAATACCTCATTAGGTATATATGTGGCATTTCCTCACTCTCTCTTCTGTGCATGGCCCGTTGAGAGTCATATTGTCTCTTTCTTGAGATAACGTGCAAAAGCGTTTTAGAAACCACAGTGATGGACATGATTGGATAAGCTTATATAACTTTACTGACCTCTGTGTGCAGACATCCAAGTAGAGCTGGATGGGGTGCAGAAAGTGCTGTATTGTTCGCAAGTGTATGTCAGCTAGATGTGTTTGTATCTTTCATCCTGTTGTATAGTGAATTAGGCGGTTGAGTGCTATTTCTTTTTCAGAGCTTTACTGTGTAGCTGTCTTCCATGGCTCTGATTACCTCCCTTTCTTGTGTCTGCTACATTCTAAGTCAGTAGCTCTATTCATTAGGATATTGCTACGTCTATGTGGTTAAGTGAATCCCAAAGACATTAATCAGATCACCATACACTCATATGGGGATACTTAATGTGATCTACACAAAGAACTGATGTATCCATTACCTCCCCAAAGACTGTTCTATGGCCATGTTTTGTTGTTATACCAACTATGTTTTAAGATAAGGAAGCAAATTTAGAAAGTATTGTGTGTGTCAGTTTCAGACCCAAAGATTTTGTTGTTAGCTTTATCAGTTAAGATATATACAATTTGTGATGTTTTACACAATACAGCTTTATTGTTTACATTGTTGTACATTTAGACACAGGACTTCGCATGCAGGATTTTCTCTCGTAAGATAAAAGAAAATTACTTTCTGTGTGTAAAGTGTTGAAAAATATTTATTAATGACACAAATACAATAAATGTCAATAATGAAATGTAACATTCTATTGGTGTGAAGCAAAACATATAATCTTGCTTGATCTTAGGCCAGCTTTGAGTCAACAGACTTGTTATTATTTATGACCTAATCAAATACATAGTTGATCTCACTATCACAAATTATTAGATGTATTACTGAAAAAGAAAGTTATTATATTTATGTATTAAGTATTTCCATTGATCTGTAAGGGGAAAGATTTAATGTGTTGATTCTCTAAATACTCCACTGTTTATCCTGTTTTTGACTACTTGTTTAGTTCAAATAGTCAGATGCTTATGAAGTCAGAATTTAGGTAAACGTTTAGAGTAAAGGAGGATTATATATATATATATATATATATATGTATATGATATTTACAGTGTGTACATCATAGTGCAAAAGTATATGTGCTGTAAGTAGTTACCATAGAGTATACTATACAATTATGAAATGTACATATGTAAATAGCACAGAGGTTTTAGCTTTGTATTGTGCGACTGGTTTGCCCCGTGGTCTAGTGTGATGTAGACTGGCAACTCTAGGATCCTCCTGCAGGCTTCCTGTCCTCCTCCTCTTTATGTGCTACTACATGTAATAGCAGTATCAGTTGCTGGACAAGGGGTATGTATGTGATGGAGTGAACACAAAAACTTAGTTGACCATCACTTTGTTGATATTATGGTTTCCTCGGACATGTGCCTACCAGGGTCTTAACTATGTAGGTTATCTAGGAATCTAGGCTGTTGAATGCTAATTGTTATCAAATTTTGTAAGTTGTAAATGTGGCTAATGCTCTTTTGCATTAGCATATTTTGTAATAAAAGAAAAGAATAAAACTGGTTAAATGTTATTTATGACATGAAGTATGATACTGTATTATCACCATATGAGGATTACAGATGTGGAGCATGTTGCAGACTTAAACACCTACAGTCTGTTTGGGTCAAATGATACCGAGGATACTGATGAAAACATCAGACCAACTCTGGAAAAAAGTTTCATGATGTCTCAAAAATAAAAAAGTTACTTAACAAACTATCATCATTTTGTTATGATTTTCCGTGTGATTCGAGGGTAAAGTAACAGTAGTATTGTTGCAGGAACAGCCTCAAGGGCGGGAAGAACGTGCAATTGTGACGTCTCATCAAGCATAGACAATCATTTATTGACATGGTACATCAGACAATGAAATTAACCTTTGACATAAAGTCCAGTATTTTCAAAGTTTATGACTTTTTTTTTAAGGCGACAGTGAAAGGGGTCGTCTTAAATATGCCCCGGGAAAATTTGTTAAACACACTGCATGTGCAGTTGGGTTGTCTGACAGACAATGGAAAAATTTGTTTAGACAACGTGCAATCGAGTCATGCACAACAGAGAGAGTCATATCAAAATCTCCACTTTTGAAAGCTGACCAAAAACATTCCTTTCCTTATGGATTTTGCAAAAACACATGGATACAGAACATTCTTTGACTATATCCAGGCGTGTATCCAAATATCAGTTATGGAAACTTTTGCATACATTTGGGTTTCGTTACAAAAAGGTAAGTGCAGAAAACAGGCGGATGCTATGTGAAAGAGCTGACATCATGCGATTACGCAACACATACTTACGCACTATCAGACTAAAAACATCGCGAAGGATTCGAACCATTGTTTTGGGATGAAACATGAGTGAACGACAGCCACACTGCAAGCACACAATGGGTAGATAGCTCCTCGACAGAACCATGTAACAAGAAACTTCTGACCTGGAAGAGTTTTGATACAACCCCTAAATGTTGACATCCTTAGCTGCACGTGCTTCCCGCCCTTGAAGCTGTTCCTACAACAGTACTACTGTTACTTTACCCTCGTAAAACGTCACACGGAAAATCGTTTGTTGAGTAACTTTTTAATTTTTGAGACAAACGTTATGAAACTTTCTTCCAGAGTTGGTCTGGTGTTTTCATTACATTCTGCGTTGAAATGAATGTTTCATCATGAACCGTTTTGGTGTTAGATTGTGATTCATCGGTAGCATTTTGACCCAAACAGACTATAGTTTCCTCTAGGCTCCCCAATGGAGGTTCAGGTTCAAGAAGCAGTTACATGGCATATTTCGTGTGACCCTTTCTCAGAAAATTGTTGGGTTTTTTTCTTCTCATCAGTTGTTAAGTATTATATATATATATATTGGGACAGAACATACAAAGTCGTTATGGTCAAGATGCTAGACTGGAGAAAAGAACTGGATTGATTGCATGTTGATTCTCAAGTTAAGAATTAAAAGTTAACCAGGAATCAGTCTGTAAAAGAACCAGGCTTGAAACCAACAAGCAACAAAGAAATCGGTACAAAGGTATCACCATGGTTGTACGAAAGTGTCTGGCAGTACAAATTTAGAGGTTTTGAAGACTAGTGGCTATAGCAATATACACTTTGATGGTAATATTCTATCTGCAACGGTTATCCAACTTGCAACTAGGTTGTTTAGTAGGTTGTTTAACGCCGCACACAGCAATATTCTAGCTATATGGCAGTGTTCTGTAAATAATCAACAGTCGAGTTATCGACATCACGAGCATCGTTCTACGCAATTTGGATACGATGACAAGTGTGAACCAAGTGAGCGAGCCCGACCACCCGATCCCGTTAGTCTTATGACAAGCATGGGTTACTGAAGACCAATTCTATCCCGGATCATCTAGGCAGGATCTGAAATGATCATCACACACGATGTCTTGTGTAATGGTGAGATGAGAGGTAATAGCTAGCTTCCCTTATATGCACAGAAATATGTTGCTTAAAAAACTTCAATGCTAAGGCAGATCTTTCTATAATATTCTCTGCATCAAAGGAGAGTTCTAATACAGTCCAGCTCTGTCTAAATATACCACACCAATGCCTCTCCCCTACTCCTTTGGTACAATGTGTAACATGAAACATTCTTTCTCATATGTATAACACTGCCTCATAACAACTATATATATGGAAATTGATTATGCAACACCTAATTGATAGACCTATCATTCTGTGAATTAAGAAAACTGTAATTTTTCCTTATCCTGACTCATGCTCTTTTGCTTGTCTTCTTCTTCTTGCGAACACAGTGGAACACTTGTATCTCCCAATTGAAGCTCCCTTCAATGTAAAATCACTAATTAGTACTCACCAAGAGTTATCTCTATCCCACTCCTTTGCGCGGGAACGAGGGCGCCACTTCCCTCACTCTCTCCTTCTTCGCCCAGTGAGCAGGATGTGAGAGCGCCTGTGTCTCCCTACACACTATATCCTTTGTTTATTCTTAGTTATTTACCTCTCATAGACTTCTATAGAGGTGTAGCTAGTATCCTTCAACATAATGAGTTGATATTTATTCGTGTTTCTACTGTTTTATTCACGGGACTCCGTGTTTGTTCAGATAGATTGCGTTGATGAAAATCTGCACGATTTGTAAATTACGTTTTTCTGCTGCTGACCCACATTTAATATGCCCTAGTTGTACTACGCCATGCTCTACTGTTTCACGTTGCAATTATTGTATTAATTTATCCAATTCTGCCTTTGATAAATATTTATTCTGCGTCTTGAGACGCGCAGCAGATAGGTCACGTAAATGGATTTTAGCCATGGCTAATACACCAGAGCCCTTACCCTGTCAACTGTTGTCGGACGACCCCCTCCCGTCTGGTGTTCCGCTAGAGTTACCCTCGGAGGAGAGGCGTGGGACGCAGTCCACTACCTCCAAGAAGCGACCTGCATCCCCGGACATCCCGTCGTCGCAGCCAAAGACTAGGATGGCTTCCACGTCGTCTCAACGCAGACTCCGCACCCCCAGGGCTACATCCACGTCGCAGGGGAAATCATCGAAGTCCAGCAGTACTTTCTCAGCCGAGATTGTTCCCGTTGCAGAGTTGGGCCTGTTTGATGATGATGATCCGATCATCATTCCAGATGTACGGCGGAAGAAGCGGCCAGTGTCGGCAACTATAACATCAGCGCAGATTAGCACGCAGGCTGAGGCACCTACACTGATGTCAGAGAATCGTCCTGAGGGTCCTGTCGCTACCATCGTAGAGAAGGCAGCAACTACTTCAGCGCAGACCGTCCCAGACGACCTGATGAACCACATCATGAAGATGATGGAAGATCGCTACGGTCTTCGGCGGCCTTTAGAGCCACGGGCGACCCAGCCCACCCCCATACCTCCGTGTAGGGCGACCCAGCCCATTGCACGTCTCCGCGTAGGGCGACCCAGCCCGCTAACGCGCCTCCCCGAAGGGCGACCCAGCCCGCCTGCACGAAGGACCCCGATCCTAAGCAGTCACGGAAGGCTTCACGGAGGATGTCTGTATCACCTACGTCGGACCTTGATGAGAGAGGACGTTTCGAAGCAAGATCCTCTCATCCCATGACTCCGACTCAGACTCTCAACCTTCACGAAGGTTAAGTGGCTCCAAGTCATCCTCATCTAGAAGATCATTAAGAGAGTCACCGAGAGCTTCGCCAAGCTACCAGCGTTCGCCGAGGAAGTCTCCGCGAAGGTCACCTTATAGACGCCACTCGTCAGTCCATTCACCACATCATTCCACTCGCCGATCTCCTTATCGATCACCTTGTAGATCCACGTACAGATCATCAAGGACTCCACCTCAGTCACTATTGGAGGAGCATCAACACATTATCTGTGACCCGATGTCTGAAGATGAAGATGGTATCATATTTTCCGACGCAGAAATAAGATATTGGATGGTGAATAGTCCGGAACTTTCCTCCCCGTCTAAGAACGAGAACTCAGCCCACACATATCTTATGAAGGAAGACGATACTGACACAATCACCTTACCCCCGATTGACCCGATAGCAGCGGTGCCAGCTAATCTGGATACAGCCTTTAGTAAAGCCACGAAATCACAGACACCTCATGTGCCGCATTTCAACGCTAACAAGTTTGCAGGTCACAACATGGACTCTTTTTACAAGGCACAAGATATCGATGATAACTATAAGATGATCAGCGATGCCAAGTCCAAGACTTACAGAATAGATGACCACAAGCTAGCCCAGATGGAAACCATATCAAGGAGGATGTTTTTTGGTCTGAACAGATCAAGAACAGTCAACGAAACTCTCCTCACGAAGTTCAGAGACTCTACATCTGAGGATGATAGAATGATTTACTCGGCCCTCCTCATGCAGAAGAAGGACCAGCAGTTCCTTCGAATCACTTAACAGCACTATCCGCAGCTACTACTATGGCTCGTCGTCAAGGTCTCCTCGCCACCTGTAATTGGGGTGATCACTTCACCGCACCACTCTACACAGCCCCGTGGTCTTCACCGTCCATCTTCGATGGTAACATAGACAAAGTCTCTAAAGAAGTCTCTAAAGACTCAAGAGAGGTACTCATGATAAAGTCTATGGATATGCTAGCAAGCGTCATCAGACAAACTTCGCAGAGGTACTCAGGCAAATCGAAGTTCTCTGGTCTACAGAGAGCACGGGAAAGGAAGATGGCTAGTGTAAGAGGAGCGAAAGAGTCTTTTCACCGCCCATACAGCAATTACAGAGGAGCATCGGGAAGAGGCAGGTCATCCAGAGGCTCCCGCAATTATAAACGATGAAGGACAGGTTCGGAACGACTGGAGTCTTCCACCCCCAGCCATTCCAGTACAACCATCTCAAGTGGGTGGACGCCTTCAACTGCACTGGGAAAACTGGGGATTCCTAGAGGATCCATATGTCTCCAACATCCTACAGCACGGATATCGCATACAACTACTGGCCACGCCGCCGCTGACAATCATCCCTCCGAGGTTCGACTTCCAGGCTCTACAACTACCAAAGTTAAG